ATAATGCGGTTTATTAAAAAAAATCATTATTATAAAAATATAAATAAAATAAAATTATAAGTGCTAAATATCTATTACAATGTCTTCAACTATATAAGTTTTATAATCTATTAATGCATGGTTAAAAAAATCATTTTACTGAGAGATGAGATAAAGTGGCGATGGACACAAAAATACAACACATTGTTGTAAAATTTTACCATAATGTGAAGCAAAGAGCTTTACATTGAAACAAAAAAAATAACTTTTTTCTTTTTGGCAATTAAAAGATTAGTCATGTTTTATAGTTAATTATTTTATTTTATTATTAAGTACATATTTTATACNTATAGTTAATTATTTTATTTTATTATTAAGTACATATTTTATACTCTTAATTTAATAACATCATATTAGGTATATTGAGACGGGATACGTTATGACACAAATTATACACAATAATATGTATACTATAACAAAAAAAAAATTTAAAAAAATGTACTATGTATTGTTTATCAATCTTCTATTTAAAATAAAAATAACTAAATATGGTAAATTCTGAATATAGTATAGATAAAGTTATATTAAAAGTAAAATCTAAGTCAGCATGTTACAACTGTAACTAAAAATTCTTAGGATGGTAAAATCAACTGGAGCCATTCCACCCCTTACCGAATGATAAAATTGCTTTGCTTCATTAACATATGATTCTAATTGAATTTTAGCTTTAGAGTAATCAAATGTATTTGTGGAAACTGTATTTATTAAATACTTTAAATCAAGTTTTTTCATATCTAAATTGTAACTCAAATTATTATAACATCCAATTACTTTATTGGTAAATTTTATCAATTTACTTTTATCTATAGATGAAAGTTCATCTATTATATTTTTATATATACAATTTTTTGAAATATTTTCTGTAAATTCACCAATTTCATTTAAAATGCTCATTGGAATTTTCAATAACTGGTCTAATTCTTCTTGTGTGCATTGAATTTCGTTTAAGCTTTGATTTAACATGTTCATAAGATAAATACAATGACGTACCAAAGAATAATAAGTAACCAACATTAAATTACTCTTTATGCACTCGGTATAATCTAGTAATGCAAAATAATTATTTTTCCAATTATTTAACAAGCTTTTGTACCTCTTCTCTATATAACTATAGTTATATTCGGGAAGTATGTTACTTGATGGAATAAAAGTTTGAAAATTCTCTTCCCAAATAAAACTATAAATATTTGTTACGTCTTCAAACTGATAAAATTCATAAAAGGAGTCCGGGATATATTCCTTTGACAATTTTAAAAAAACTGATTGTTCAAAAATAAATTCTAAACTCGGATATTTTTCGTTTTTGTATCTATTCATAGGTAAAGGTGATTTTGTCAAGCGGCCAAAAGTATTACATTTTTTACAGCAATTGAATAAATCCTCGCAAATGAAATGGAAATCAACTTCTTCTAATAATATTTTTTTTTCGAGTAACGCATCTATAGTTATTGATGCCATCCAAACACCTTTAGGTGCACGACATAATGTTACATAAAATATCGATAATATACGATGCAAATATTCCTTGAATATTTGTAGTTGTTCAAAGTTTAATTTGGTTTTAGCTTTCCAATCTAGTTGAATATGATATATCAAATAAAGTGTTATCTGCGAATATGAACATCTCATTTTTCTAATTTTTTTTGAAATTTTCTCAACATCCCACACATAATAATTATAGTTATCTTTAATATTATTGATTATTTCTTGTATCTCAATATCTGAAAATAAAATGTTTTCAAATGATGGTATATCATTTATCATCCTTATAAATGTCAAATTTTTACATTGTTGCTGAAAAAAAAATTTGATAAAATTGGTTAGTATTTGAACACCTAATCATATTTTTATATTGATAATCTTTAAATATTCATTGAATAATGTATTAAAATATATAACTATATAATTTTAATTGTTCATTAAAATTAAAAGGCATGTATTTTTTATATACCTTAGTTACATTTATAAAACTTTCAGTAATACTCTACATAATTGAAATCATCAATGCAATATCTCATTTTATTCTTAAAAGTAGCAGGATATTTTTATGGATATGTGCATTCTGGTAGACTTAAAAAAATATACATTGTATTTAAAAAACTGTCTAACTTTGTGCTGCAAAAGTGTACGTGAATACATTGAGTGATGTTTCAGAGAAGTTAATATGATCATAAAATAATCATAAATTTTACGTATTTTTTCATAAAAGTTACAGTGAGAACTTTTCTTATTATTGAATTATACACATTTCATAGTATCACGTGGAGTGTTAAAATCTATTTTTTTAGACCGATCTAGCATAGTATGTATGATATCTTCTATAATATCAGTATATCTTATTTCAAAACAATAATTTATATTTATTTCCAACCTTTTAAAAAAAATCTTTTATAGTTTTTCTTGTAGTCTTCATATAATTTATTTTATTAATTGTAATTTATTAAAAAAAAAATTCAGAATAGTGTACTGAATACGGTTTTGTTCATTTTTATGAATTTTGATAAGCATAAAGTTCAAATATACAATACGTTTATAAGGGTAGTATTTAGGGGTAACTTTCGAATGTTAAATATAAATCTATGATCATTGTTATATTATTAGATTAACCATAATTCTGAATGACCAATCACTAGTTTTGTAAAATAACTTTTTGAGGTACTAGTATTTAAAAATTTATCTATATGATCAGGAGGGTAGGCTTATGTAATCATTGCAATTTAAATATGAATGTTTTTATACAATTTATACACTTTAAAAGTTAATAAATGTGTTTATAATTACACTTTGTTTTATTTTTAGCTTCGATGCGAAGCTGAGAAGGTATTAATTTTACCATGATGTGTTTATTTTTTTTTTTTTTTTTTATTTTTTTTTTTTTTTGTGTCTG